CTCCACAAATTCCGCTCACCCACGTTCTCCTATCTCCCTCACCCACACTTCCACGTTCTCTCTCTTCTCTTATTTTACATGCTATCACTCTCTCACCCTCTCTCTCACTCCCACGTTTCTCTCTCTCTCTCTCTCAACATCTCTCCCTCAACTTCTCTCTCTCTCTCTCTTCATTCTCTCAGTGCGTGAACAGGAGCTCGCATCCTCTGCCTCTCGTCTTGCCCTCACCCACCTGAGCTTTCACGCGCCTCCATCACCAGCAGACCAGCCTCCAGCCGATACTTCCGCCCGCTAAGCTGCCTCTTCTCCTCTCTTCACGCCTCAGCCGATGAAACCCAAGGCCAGCCGCGTAGCCATAAAGAGCACCGCCAATTCGCTTGACTCGCACATTCAACACAATCTTCTCCCTGCAACTCAGCCGCACACAACAAGCTCGGCCAACTTTCAGCAGCCTCGCTCTCCTTTCCGGTTCACTCACCACCATTTGCAAAGCTCTGCCAAGATCTCCGCACAGCACAATCTTCGCCCCACCTCCAGCCCGTCTCTCAGGGCCCAGAGCTCTCTCGCTCCCTCCGCAAGCTCACTGCCAGCGCTCCCTACAACTACCCTCTGCCTAAGTAGCGACTGAGCTCTCGCGTCGATCGCGCTCCAGCCCTCTCTCTTCTTCCCTCATCGTTCGCCTCCCTTGCACCTGACGACAGGACGCATCTCCTCCAACCTTCGTGAACACTCTTGTTGTATTCTCTTCCCCAACTGCCACAAACATCCTCAGCCCTTGACCGCCGCAGATCTGAGCTCCGACCACCCTGACAGTTCCGAGCCGCCTGCACGCCGACCCCAACTAGTCCGACGACAGCGTCCAAGCTCTCCCGATCACTCCCGATCTCGTCGCCAACTAGCGCCTCCATCGTACGCCACATGTTCGACGATATGCCAACAGCCCCGTCGCACCCCGTTGAGCCCCTCAGTGATGACAACCGCCGTCGTTGTCGCCGTCCCCAAACATCGTCGCTCGTCGTCAGGCCCTCGGCCTCGTAGGCAAGATCCCGTTTGCTCAGATCTAAATTTTTCTATTTATTGTGAATTATCTGCAATATTTGATCTGTTAATAATTATCTACGTGGGTTTATTGATGAAATTGTAAATTATCTGTTTATATTAATTTGTGGTATAATTATCTGCGTGGATGTGATGAATAATATTAAATAGATTTTAATTATGTGATAGATAGTATTTTCAGAGTAATTATAATAGATTAAAGAATTTATTTTGACGACAGGGTTATTTTAGAATAATTATAATATTTCTTGAATTTATTTTGTGGAAGGAAATCATTTTAGAATGATAAATACTTTTAAAAGAATTTATTATTAGAAAAGGAATTATTTTAGATTAATTATAATGAGAAATGATTTTAAAATAAATGATTTTGGAAAAAGATTATTTTCTAAAATTTATAGATGTTATTTATGATTTATGATTCTTAGATTTAATTACATGATATGCCATGACATCGTTGTATAGGATTTGTTGTTTTTATTTATTGTTCCATCTTGCGATTGAGAACCCTTAGTAGTTCATGATTTAGTGGCCTTGTGCGTCATGAACAGACTTAGTGACATGTGTGAGTGAGTTGACTGAGTTTAGGTGGTGAATCCGAGTTTCAATGAGGTTTATGGTTGACTTAGAAAATACAAGAGAGTTGGGATGGGGAAGTCCATGTTCATGTGATCGGATAAGACTGTTGATGTATCTTCCAGGCTCGCGCCAGTGAATTCGTGTAGTCACTGGGGTTGGTTTGTTGGGCTAAAGTGAATTCGTGTAGTCACTTTAGTCAGTGAATTTGTGTAGTCACCCGAGTTCTGCTTGAGTTCGGACCAGGCCGAAATCGGATTGCGTGTAGTCCTCTGACCGATTCGTGTAGCGGTATTGGATGCACGTAGAGGATTTATGAACAGTCAGTTATCCGGTAATATGAATGTTGACTCTGTGTGAGATGTGATCAGCGACCTGTTATAGAATGGTTAGTTACATGACCTCGTTATTTAGATGATTTTTGGATTCTTGTGAGATGTAGACCAGTTGTGTTTCTTTTCATACATAGATCGGGGTTAATATTTAATTATCTATAATTCGAGACATACGGTATATACATGAGGATTTCCTTGTTTGGATTATTTCGCTCGACGTACTACGTCCCGAGTTATGGATTTTTAAGTATTAATTCCATCTAGTTGTATGACCTTGTGACTTGGATGATTACACTGATCGCTAGCTACATGATCGACTTGTTACTTGATTGATTTCGTTGGATTTCTCGTTGCACGTTCTTTTATTAATTTTGTTCTCGTATCATTTTCACTTTGGTTTTCGTTGTTCTATTTGTTTGTGGGGTCTTGCCGTGTGCCATACACGCTGACGTGCACCTGTTTTCTCTGGTGCACGTCAGACTTAGAGAAAGAACAGGTCCAGGTGGGAGATCGCCAAGAGCCAGATGATTCTCAGCAGGAGTGCTTTGCAGATCGAGCAGAAGAAGCCGAAGATTAGTTATCCCCTCTAGGTGTTCGATGATCTTAGCTTACTTTTGTAGCATTTCTTTTCCGCCTGATCATTGTATTTTATATTCTCCAGTATTTCATTCAGATAGTTTTGTATAAGGGCGTGTTTGACCCGTATTTAATGTCTTGGATGATATTCATTTGTGATATGTATTACCTTATTCTGTGTTGTTCATTATATTCTTGCTATCTGTGATCGGGGACCTGTGACTTCACATTGTTTTATTTTTGACGCTTAGCGTATTAGATTAAGAAGAAGAGGTCTAGCACTTATCTCTCCTCAGTCTAATACGTCGTGGACTTGCTCGCGTCCCGGCTCCCCGGTATTTTGGGAAACGGGGCGTGACAGTAGATCTCCAAGCCAAAATCCAAAATAAACCGAAATCCCACTTCAAACGCCCTTAAACTCTTTCAAAAATCAAACTAGGGTTTTGTGGAAGTGTTTGGTGGCTGCTAGGGTTTTAAAAAATCTGAAAATCTCGTGAACAATGTGTATATATAGCAGAGAAATGAACATAGGCCTCAAAATACCGGAAACCAACTCATATCAAGAAAAACATTTTCAGGTTCTGCGGTCGACTGTGATGGTCGATCGGGCTGCGGTCAACTGCGGCGGTCAACCATACTGCAATATTCCAGATTCTTAGGATTTTGCCTTTGTGCATATTTTCGACTCGTTCTATTCTCATGTATGAACTTGTTTATACTCAAAATACTTGTTAATGTACTCATACACTATTTAATAATATTTATCTTAATAAATATTCACTTATCATAATTAATCACATATTAATTATATTATCTTAAAATTTTAGGGTTTTACACTTCCATTATGGCTCCACTCACACCATGGTCGCATAGTACGACTACATAAACCCTGCCAGTGGCTGAAGACTACGGTACTGAAGGCGGTGGAACATATGGGACTATCTGTCCCTAAGGAATCTCCTAGATAGCGTGTATCTAGCATGCTGGCCCCTTAATCCTTGGAACTTCTGGCGGTTGTAGGCGTATAAAACTGCCTATAAGTTCCTTAACACAGCTCGACGACGTCGATTCGACAAACCGACCATCGGACGACGTATCCATATACAACAAGTTAGTCCACAACACCGAAGCCAAGCGATACGTGACGAAGCGGATTAACGAGGCTACGAAGCTAATGAACCGCACACAAACAACGGAATGAATCCACTCGCGTGCGGAATCAAGCTAACGGGTTGAGGAATCAACGAGTCATCCAACCAAGAGCGGACTCGGACGAATCACGATCGAATCAAGATCAGTTTCGGACTCGAACTCAGAAGCGGATTTACTGCCTAATCAGGATCCGGATTTACTGCCAAATCAGGTCAACAAATCAGAGTCCGAATCAACCACGAGACCGGACAAAACGACGAA